CAATAGTATCTATTTAATTTATATTTGATATTATATTAACCATTTAATCTCTCCCCCCTCAAGTACCTTGCATACCAGCTGTGTGCGTCACTTGACACAAACATAATCTATATTGTTAAGCTACTTTTAACAAGAAAAATAATTTATTTTAGTGCATTCTACTTCAGAAAATAAAGTATTGGAAAGCTATGAGTGGTGGCACATAGTAGAGTTAATCAAATTATATAACTGTTGAAGAATATTATTTTTTTTTTTATGTAAAATTAACTCCTTATGATTTCTTATTAATTTCTTATTAAAGRATCTGATACCTATCATTTTAGTATAGGATAATCCCCAATACTCAAGTGCTTACGAGCAATAATATTATGTAGTCCATATTACTGTGTGTCATTGATTTCATACACATATATTATATACATATCAGGATTAGGGCAGATATTTTTACATAATTATATACTCATCATAATTATYAACAATCAATGAAGTCTTATCTAAAAACAGATAAACGGATTTTAATTCTACATTTCGTTTTTAAAGTTCATAATTATAAATTATCAAATTTAGAAAGTTGATCTTTACTATAAAATTTTTACCTTTATAGTTAAATATTTTTTTTTTTTACTAGGGGGAACCCATGGCAACATAGGCTATTAGGTGTGGGGTCGTATGGTAGGGGTTATTTTTGTATATTATGTTTGTAGTTTTTTAAGTTGGTAGAATTATAACACATGTTTGTGTGTGTGTGGCAAGGATATGTTGCTAAAAATCCCGGGTGGTCACCCATYCGAGAGCTAACAATTGTGACCAGTACATACGTTCAATAGTACATTTAGGATACAACCATGTTTCACCAAGCCACTAATTAAATAATTATATCATTTTCTATATAATTGTGTATCTATACAAATATATAATACAAATATGCAATCATCATAATGTGAAAACATGGCATATTTCTATTAATTTTAGATCTTAAATTATTGAAATTATAACCTTACAGATTATAAAATGTTTGTTTAAATAACTCAATAAAAAGTGTTTAAAATATGTAATTTGAAAGTGATAMATTTTTTTATTTCTATAATTTTTCTTTCCTCAGATATACTCGTCAAGAYATGTAATGAGATATAACATAAAAATACACTTCTTAAAATACCCATAATTGTTTAGTTTTTACATATTAAAACAATCAATGTTATTTTTGAATAAAACATAATATTATCTAATTTAATATTACTTAAAATGACGCTAYAYACATATTTGTTGTCYCCATCTTACAAGTACTTAACATAGCAAATGTACACTTAGCAGATCRCGTTTAATTTCTTTCCATTAAAAATTAGAGCAAATTGAACTATTATGAAACTTGATGGTAAGAACATTATCTGTGTTTGTATGTGGATTATTTCCGATAAGTTAGTTTTTAAGTAAGTTATGAGCATTTTTAATTAAAAATTTTTTATATACCCATAACTTACTACAAAATTGTACTATCGAAAAAAAACTCACACACAAACACAGATAATGTTCTTAACATCAAGTTTCATAATAGGTCAATTCACTCTAATTTTTAAAAAAAACAGGGCTAAACATGATTTGCTGAATGTAAATATTTTGGTATGTTATGCACTTATAAGACGATGACAAATGGTTGTATACCATCTTCTTAACTATCTTTGTCTATTTTTCTTGTAAAAAAGTATTCAGTTTCAAAATTTGATATATGCAAAACATCTAGTTTTAGGCAAAAAACAAAAAAGCAAACTTAATATATCTATGAAATTATTTAACTTTTATACAAATCAAAAATCAAAATGTTATAGAATAGTTAAAATTAATAAATAATTTTCTTCTAGATGTGGATGTCTATGGGTACTGGAGCTAGAGTGAATTGGAAATATATT